AATTCGCATACCCCTTTCACCCAGATGATAATCTTAGGGGATATCGCAATCCTAGTACAGTACAATGATCAAAACCAAGAAATTGACCTGAATAATAATGCTATTAACTAAACTGTACACATTATCCACATTTCCCCAGTTTTCCCATAAATGCCTTAGTTCGGACCCAGGATCCAACCAACGGCACCCTCGTGTTTACTCATTAGTCATGACTCACCTTTGTCTCCCCACATCTGAGACAGATTAGCTTAGTGGTCTTGCGTTGTTTTGCATGATCCTGACACTTTTGAAGAGTACTGGTCAAGTATTTTGTAAAATGTCCCTCAGTTAGTGTTTGTCTAATGTTTTCTCATGGCTATACTGGGGTTATGGATTTGGGGGAAGATTACCGCACAGGTGAAGTGCCATCCTATTGTATTATATCAGGGATCATGATCTCAACACAACAAGGGAATGCTAACCCTGGTTACTTGGTTAAGGTGGTGTCTGTCAGTTTCTCCACTCAATCTGTCCTATTTGTCCCTATCATCCTGCCTTCCTTTAACCTGACCACCACACTGCGTCCCAGCCTGCTCTCCCAGGCCCTGGACTGCAGGCGCAGAAACGCCTGTCCTGTCGGAACTCTCGAAGCGCTTTCCTGTGAAGCTGTCCTGTGTGTGATGGGTAGGATTCTCAACGGGGCACCTCAAGCGCCTTAAGGGTTAAACAGGCTTCTGTTTAGAATCCCAGAACCCTCCTCCAGAGCCTGTACCACACAGGGGAAGGAACAGGCCTGCATTACTGATGTTGAAATAAAATCATCTGGAAGTATTTTCATTTGAAGCTGGCTTTCAGACACAGAGGCAAAACACACTAACAAAAGTAATCTGGGGCATATGGTATTCCTTTCAGTCATAGGCATTTTTAATATAAATCCCCTAATCATTTAGATCTTGGTTTTCAGTTTATTGTGAAGCCAAATCTCTTTATTTCTCTCCAAAGAATCAACTCCCTGCCTAAATGAAGTGACTTATCCTTGCCTGGAAAAAAGCAAAGTGCAGCTCATCTGTGCTAGGCACATCATCTTGCTATAAGTGCTACCTAAACACAAGTTTTTGATATTGCTGTAGTTTCTTTTTTAAAGTGGGACCGCAAATATGCTCTATCATGATGAGATTTTTCCAAGTCCTCCCTTTAGGTGTTGCTTGCTGACTCCTCCTCCCACTAGGTGGCGCTACACATCACATTCAAAGCGGGCTGATGGAGTCGGTAGTCTGTGTTGAAACCTTTGCAAGAATGTCTCTGGAATTCCTGATGGCAAGTACTAAACTTCATTGTTAATAAACACTTCCCCTGTCTCTTTTCACATTTCTTGTCATCAGACAACTGAAACAGGCCAGTTCTGAATTTCTGTAATGCAGTCGGGCAATCTTAGGATAAATGTAAGTTTTTAGGGGCATGAAGAATCATGACCACATAGTAAGGCAAAAATTCAAGAGTTGCATCACTGAAGGCAAGAAACTGGGGAAAGGCTTCCATTCATTAACTCAGCATTGCCTGGCATATGATCTCAATAGTGCCCCCAAATTCTTCCCTACTCAGGATGTCCAATATTGCTCAGAAGTTCCCCAACTACTTAATAACTTCCCTCTCATAAATTCAATTTCCAAATTTTAGCTTCACAACAGCTTATGTGTTCACTATATAAATATCCGCCATAGAGATTTTTAAATTGTATCAAATTAGCAAAAGTTTTAAAGTGCTGACAAGCATTTTTAAGATATCCTTATAAAATGCAAAGATGAGGGAGTACGATTTCCTCTGATTACATATTAGAGGCACATATTTAATAAGAAACCTTATGTTCACAATTGCAACTCATCACTTAAGCAGAAACAAATTTTCTAAAAGCTTGGGGTTTAATATCATTAGGAAACCCATACCAAGAAACGATGCTCTTTTTCAGCCAACTTACTATCACTAGGTGGAGGAAGATTGCCCCCCAAGGAAAAGAGCTGAGAATATCAAATTCCCGACTGGGCCCAGCAATTTGACTGATGGTAATTGCAATTTGCAGTTGTTCAACTGTGTCCCGGAGAGATATGAGGCCTTTTGTTGTTGTTGTTGTTGTTGTTGTTGTTGTTGTTGTTGTTCATATCAGGGAGTTTTGTTTGCCCTGCAACACTCTTCTCATGAAGTTAAGCATCTGGTCTATGTGAGGTTAGGCCCTGTTGTCATTAATTACACAGGCTTATTTCATTCCCATGACCCTGCCAAAATACAGATTTGGCACTTATCCTTTCCTGGCCAATCAACAGACTTATTTACAGGAGACAAATATTTTGGCCAGGGTGTTTTCTTTTTAAAGAGAGGGCAGGAGATTATAATGTAGTGGTGGATTTTCATAGAAGTCTATGAATTTCACATGAAGTATAGGAGCATATTGTAAATCTCATCCCTGTAAAGGAATATTCATTCACACAAGGCATTCCAGTCCAAGCTCTACCAAGGGTTTTTGTTGTTGTTTAATGCCTGGACTATGATGTCAATAGTGCCCCCAAACTGTTCCCTACTCAGGATGTCCAGTATCGCTCAGAAGTTCCCCAACTACTTAGTAACTTTCCTATCATAAATTCTGTCATTGTCCCTGCCTTCTGGGTGTCTGCTCCTGCATGCACATGCATGTGTGAGGGCAAACACACACACACACACACACACACACACAGGAACTGGGCTGATCAACTTGCATTTCTGGTTGTCTACTGGGGATGAGCCCAGAGTTCAGACATTTAGCAAACTAGATGACAGCATTTTGGCTCCCCAACCTGTGACTAGGTGGGGAACGTCCAGGTACTGAGAACTTCTGTAGACAAGTACTCTAGACTCAGAGTCCAAAGCAACACCTCACTCTCTTCCTAGCCCTCACCTATTCCCAATGTTCTTTCCTCTGCCCTAAGGACAGAGTGCCCTTGGCCTTCAGTCCATACGACCTTGCATGGGTGGCCAGACTGCAGCTTCCTTGGCTCAGATTTCATTTCAAACTCTTCACACAGAAGGGGCTTGCCCAGTACAGGAGGGTGGGAAACTGTACGTAGAGGGACTTCGCAGCTGCTCCCAGCTGCTACGAAATACCAATTTCTCCTCCTAGGAATCGAAAGGGCCTCTGCTCAGTCTGCCTCTCTAATGGACTTGAAAAACAGGGCCATGATCATTCGAGGCCAGGAAATTTCAGATTTTGGTGAAGTCCGGGGAGCACTAACTCCTAAACTCTGATCTGGACTATCTTTGATCTTCCCGTATCCTCTAGAATAAAATGATTCTAGTGGTATCCTTCTCTGCTGAAATTGTCCAGACTTGCTAAAGAAAAGAAATTGAAATATAAGAAATAGACATGCTAGTGTAAGAGACTGGATAATAAATATTTCCTATCTTGCACCAAAATAATAGACTGAAATGTTATTGAATCTAAACATTTATATACGTACATATGTATGTGTATGTGTACACACGTACACACACATACACACATATTTAACTACTTTATTAACAGGTATCTTTTAGCTTGCAAGAAAAAAAAAAGGCATACCTTTTAGTTGGTACAGATAGAAAAAGCAGAAGAGAGCCTCCTTATTCTAAACTCGCCTGCTTTTGAACTACAGTAGAGGTATTTGGTCCTGACTTCCAGCAAATATCTCAATGTTTTGAAGCTAAGGAAGCTTTTTCCTTTCCTGTATGAAGCCACCACACATACAAGAGAAATGGAGACTATTCATTGAAAAGGACAGCTTTCCCGTGACCTGCAAGCCACACACATTTGTTGTACTGATACCATGTCTGCTAAATTAAGTTTGAGGAATTTTTTTTTTTAACTCCATCAGGGTCGAGTTTCTCAGCATATAAAAATTTGCCTTTGTTGTATTTATTTTAGAGGAAGTCTATTAGGACATTTAAATTAGTAAGAATAACTTTCTTTCTAGAGATTTTGAATAATACATTTGTTTTCTTTGCCTTCACAACAAGTGTGTTCAAATGAAGGAAGTGTTTATTACTTCCCTCTTGGAAAAAACTTCATCAAGTATTTTATTTTCTTCCCAGTGAGAGTCATTGACTGAAAAAGTTCAGCAACAGGCATTTCTAACTCACAGACTCGTTCTCCAAGAGACTTTCTTCAAACTTGCTAATAGCAACAGATTTGTCCCTTTGTGGGGACAGTAGGGGGCGCTGCCACCACAAACTATTATGGCTAGCTGAGTGATTTCACTGGCCAAAAAAATGGCTAGACATTTTAGGATTCTCCCACGTCAATGTACACCTAAAAATAATTATATAGGTTTTTCTCTTCCATAATTCACTGCTGGGTGCAAATATCTGGAATTTATTTCTGTTCCTATGTGTGTGTCTGTGTTAGTGTGGTCATAAGCATGTGGTACAAATCCTGTATTGCAAAGTTTGGGCTGACTCATGCAGGTCTAACTGAATCCCCCTGTTCTAAACTATTAGCCAAATATAAGTAGCTAAAATGCACTTAATATTGAAGTGGCATTCTGGATGGGAGTTTTTGTTTTTTTTTTCATAGTTGAGCCTTCAGTCTTACTCACAAACATCAAACTCCAAGTTCAGAGCCAAGATGAAAGAGAACTTTGGGGAAATTTCATTAAATAATCACATAATCTAAGCTCCATAGGTTGGAGTTTTTTAAAGTAAGTTTCCTATGTAATTGAGTTAAACGTAAATTTATGCATCCAATAAAAAAACCACTGCAAATGGTAAAACAAAGACATTGCTCCAACACTTAGAAAATTAAATTCACCAAACCATGAAGTCTACTGTGCAGTTATTTTTGTAACCACCATAAATTGCTTTATAGAACTCTTCTGCTGGAGTAAACAATCCAAGGAGAGATTTACTTTATAGCATGCTTTCAGTTTCCAAAGGAAAGAGTGGCCTACAAGTTTATGACTCTTTTTTTCTTTTTTTTTTTTCTTTCTTTTTTTTAAAAAAATACTTATGTTTCTAGTTACCTTGAAACCTTCCTCCCCTTACAGGAGCTCAGAAAGGTCCACGGAAAATAAGATCCAGGTCTGCAGATACACTGTGCCCTCAAATACTCATTTCTGGAATAAGAAGAAACAATCCTACTTTGTGGAAATAAAGTTTATGTGGCAAAAGGAATATAAAGGGTTTTAGTACTAAATATTTCACCATATTTAATAGCACCTCAGAGCCCAACATAGTGTTAGATGTTTCAGACAGTCAGCGTGAAATGTGTTCGCTTATAGCACGGTTCGAGGCCGAATTCAATGCAAACTGCTATAGATAAGAGTTTTAGGGGTCTTTAATCACTTCTTTCTCGTGTCCTTGATGGAAAAAACAGAACTGCCTTTGTGCTAAAAAGAAGGACCTGTTGTTTTCAGATTCAACAGGTCATTTTTATAAGAACTTCCCAGAGGATACAACATAAATGACAGAAACACAAGGGGATATTTTAAGTGGCTGATGATTTTAAATGATATATCATCTATATTAAGGGAATGTTGTTTGTTTTTTCTTTCCAACAAATGGAAAGTTGCTGTTTTAAACGTGTTTAATGTTCAAATTCTATTTTTAGGGCCAAATCTTTTCTCTATGAGAAGATTTACTGTAAATTCGGCTCCTGAAATCAATCTGAGAGTGTAATTGGCCCCTCAAGTAAATAAACTTGTCAAATCATATCCATTTCTGTGTTGGGGATGAATGGTTAATTTAATGGGCTTTTTGAAATGTACCTAAATTTTGCTGTAATTTTTGTAACATTGTTTCAGTTAAAATAACAAACAGAATGCATATTTTATGAACAAGATAAACTTTATAAAATGGAAAACTAGCAACATAATTTTTACTGGTACTTTGAAGAAAGAAAAAAAAAAAGCCAATATATTATGGCAAACAAAATCCAGGCGACACTAGATTTATTAGAATCTGGCTGATTTTATTATTAACGGTGGTCTGAATTTGAAGAGACTGGCAAATTTAAGATTAAGATCTAAGCGAAACTTATTTCCTAAACTGTATTGGCAACGTTGTGCCAATGTATTTTTCTCTCTTTTATCTTCTTCTTCTTCTTTTAATTGGCTACCTTATCTGTAAAGAGGATTGTTTGAAGATCTTTGGATCCCTACAAATATCAAAAGCCCTTCACAAAACTCACTCCTTGCCCTCAAACAAAAGTTACTGCCAAGCGTCCTTTAAAATACAGTGCCTGGTTGCTTTCTGTTGCTCAGACAGGCATATATTTTCCAAACTACCCAGATTCTCTGGTTCTTGACACTTTTACTAAGTCTCTATATTACTTCCCACCTAGGACAACTATCTGGCAAAAGGTCAAGGTAAATAAATACCTGATGGTAAAGACTGTGTTAACCACAGAGAACTGCCCGAAAGATAAAGAATGAAAACGGGCTTCCTTGGGAAGGGGAAGGAAATCTATTAATTGTTGAACAGGTTTCTAATTTAGAAGAGACTTTTTTTTTTCTGTTAGTTAAATATATGAATACTTTTGCAGAGCAGGAGAAAGAGACCAGACTAGCTATTTGTTGGCGAGGGATCCCCAAGGATGAAAATCATGAAGGCCAGAATTTCCCTCCCACTGTCTCCCTCAACATTCACTTCCCAGGAGGGAGAAGGCGGAGAGAGAAGAAAGACCCTTGATGACCTTTCGCCTTCTGCAAGAAGTGGGCAGGAGGGCGAACCGGGGGTCACCGAGGGCTCTCCCACGTCTTTCCCAGCCCAGGACCCCCGGATCCTTCAGCCCCCGCCCGGGCCCGCCCCGCTCACCGGTACCAGGCGAGGCCCTTGTCGTAGCTGCGGTCGAAGAAGTGGGGCTCGGCGCCCACGGCGCGCACGTCGGGGTGCACGCGCAGGAACTCCAGCAACGCCCGCGTGCCGCCCTTCTTCACGCCGATGATGATGGCCTGCGGCAGCTGCTTGCTGCCTTCGTCCAGGAGCAGCGCCAGGGTCCCCTGCGGGGCTTCGGCCACGCTGCTTCCGGCCCCGGAGCCGCCGGGACCCCCGGCCAGGCCAGCGGACTCCTCTTCCCAGGCCGCCTCCTCGCCGTTGTCGCGCCGCGCGGGCGGCCGGCGCCTCCGCCACTGCTGCAGTTGCAGGAGGCGCTTTCTCTGTGCCGCCGCCGGCCACACCGCCAGCTCCCGCGGGCCTCCGGCCAGGACGCCGCGACCAGGGGCCCCCGCCTCCTCGCCGCCGCCGGACAGCCCCACGACGGGTCCGGACAGGGTCTGGCAGCGCTCGGCCAGGCAGTAGAAGACGTAAAGGGACGTGAGCAGGGAGCAGAGCATCAGCAAGAACTTCCGGAAGATGCTGCGGGACAGCGGCTCGGCAGAGGTGGGGAGGGCACCGGCCGGGCCCAGAGGGGCCATCCTAGCCGGAGGCGACGTCGGGCAACGCGCGGGCCATGCTAGGCCGGGACCCCGACAGGTGCCAGAGCATCCCCCCGGCGTGCCTGCGCGCTGGACGGAGGCCACATCGCCGTGCGCCCCTGCGGCCGTGCGAACTGTCCCGGGAGGCAGCGGCCGGGGCTCCGCGGGGAGACGGAGCCCCCGGGGGCCTCACGCAGGATCCCTGCCTCCAGTCGAGGGGGCGGGAAGGGGAACGCGGGTCCGTGCTTAAGAAACCATCTTCTTAGACTCGCCCAAGTCCTGAGCTTGGGGCAGCCCTCGGCCACCCGGTTCCCCCAAGAGTCGCCGGAATCGGGGTCTTGGCAGCAGTGGCGAAGGCGTGCGTCTCAGCCCCGGCCCCGAGCGGCCTCTCGGGGCGGATGTCCGCTCAGCGATCCTGCATCCCTGGCTCGGTCCCGGTGAGGGCACGGGCGGCTGCGGCGCCTCTGCGCTCCGTGCGCTCCAGACAGGGGTGAGCGACAGTGCCCTCCAGCCCGGGCTTCCTCTGGTCCCCTTGCCCGCCTGGGTGCGTTCTCTCCGCCCGGGTTCAGGTTCTCTTGGCCAAGGAGCGAGGTCCGCCCGAGTCCCTCTGCCAGAGCGGGAGACAGGAGGCCCTTGCCGAGCCGTCCACCCCTCTCGGTGCGCGCCGGGTTGCTCCAAACTGCCCTTGGACCCCACCAGTGAGCTGCTTGGTGGGGCTGGGCTGCGCGGGACCTGTCAGCGGCCCCCGCCACTGTGCTCGCAGGCACTCACCGGCTGCCTCCCGGGCCGCAGCCACCGCCGCCACACGTGGGACGCCGAGGGCAGCAAACTTGCTGGTGACGTCAACGGCCCGGGCCCGACCAGCCCCAGGACGAGCGCAGCGGGGCGCGGACCAGCGGCCGGGCGGGGCCAGACGGGCGGGGTAGGATGGAGAAAAGGTGGCGCGGGCTCCGCAGCGGCCGCCCAATGGCACTGGAGAGGGCGGGGGTGGCAGGGGCGACGCCCCTTCCCCAGTGTCCCCCTTTCCTCCCGGCGGCTTCGCCCCCTTCCAGTGTATCCGGGGTCTGTGGCGGCTTCGGGGTTGCCTGAGTGACAGCTAAGGCCGGCCGGATCCCTGGAGGCCTGACTTCCACCCAAGAAGCCACTAGCTTGGTGAGAGGCTCCAGAGCTCTCCACCGCAGCTGAGCCCTCCGCAGCCCTGAACCTCTCCAGGTTCCCCGTGCTCTGCTCCTCTCTCGGCACTGTTGCCCTATCCTTCCCCATCCCACCACTTTCCATCGCCTGGAGCCTACTCTTCGTCCCGTTGGAAGTTTTGTTTGCAGCAGTTCCCAGTACTGCGCTGCACGCCACGCCCCCGTTTGTCTGGCGCAAACCGAATTCCTCTGCAGCAGCTTCGACTTCTACCTACTCAACTGTCTGCTACGGGCCTTGGAGCAAAGCTCTTTCTCCCATCAGTTTGTTGTTTGTTTGTTTGTTTGTTTGGTTTTCTTCTTTTGATTGTTTTCCCCTGGATTTGCATAAGATAATCCAGTCCTCCAGGGCCTAGAAAGGAACAGACTCTTAGGAGAAAAACCAATGCATAAATCAAAGGCAAAATTAAAATTTAAAAAAAAATGCAGCTCCTATCCCAAGTCCCTATGCCCAATTTTTAATGTAGTGTGTATTTTCTTATTGTTGTTTGTACTTGTGTGTGTGTGTGTGTGTGCGCGCGCGCGCGCGCGCTCGTGCACGCTCGCAAAGGGGTTAAATGTCCTGTCATAAACGGCGGTTTCCTCTTTCCCTTGCCTCCCCTGACCCTATATCCTCTTCGTGCGCTCCCCGGAGAGCAGGTCAGGAAGGGATACAAACCGCCTTGCTGTCTAATGGAGGGAGGTGGCCTGTGGAAGATGTATTAGGTGGTTTTTTGTTCCAATTCTATTTGTTCCTTATTTCTTGACTTCCTTGCCTCCACGGGATGCCTCAGCATGTGGGCGGTAGCCTGGCAGTTTCATACCAGCCCCTGCAAGCTGTGGAGGCAGCTTTCTGGGTCCACTGTGGGTACTAACAAGGGCCCACCATAGGCTCAAGGTCCACGGTGCAGGAAACTTACCAGGCATTTCTGCGCCCCCATGCAGGAACTTCGCAGCCCTTCTGTGCTCTATTTGACCATGGAAGTGGAAGTCAGTTTCCACTTTTTCAGCTTCCAAGGGGAACCTAGTGGTTCTAACTCTGGGCTTGCATGGATCCATGAATTTGTGCCCTGCTGGATAAATAGTCACTGCTGGATATGGTTTTATGTTTATGAATTACCAATCCCAACTGATTCAGCAACCATTGAAGAGCCCTTTAGATTCTGATGCCATAAAGCACTGGACATTTACAAGGATGGACAAGCCCTGCCAAGCTTGAACGTCCTTCTGTGTTCTAAAATTGGATATTGACAAACCAGTTGAGATCTAATGCTAACTTAAGCTTTCCTGTGTTTTCAGATTTTTTCCCTAAGTACTTCAGTCAGATTTGCAGAAGGAAGACAAAACAAAGACCATTTTTAAGTTGTTTTGAAGACACGCAATTCTGTGCATTCTTATTAAACATGCCCCAGTTTCCTGGACTGGAAAATGATGGGCTCGAAGTTCCCTTCTAGCTCCAACATGACATCATAGCATGCGTTTTGTCTTTCACTTTCTGAGCACAGGTCTTGCCTTTAGGTGGGAATTAAATACTTGCTCGGTTCTCACCATCACTCGCATGATATGTAGGACAGCTCTGCACCTTAGAAGCAAAATGTGAGCCACAAATAAAAGCTGCATGGGTAATTTTTAATTTCCAGTACTTTTTTGTGTGTTTTTTGAAATGGGGTCTGAGTGTCACCCAGGCTGGAGTACAGTGGCACAATCTTGGCTCACTGCAGTCTCTGCCTTCCGGGCTCAAGTGATCTTCCCACCTTCGCCTCCTGAGTAGCTGGGACTACAGGCGTGTACCACTATACCTAGTTTTTTAATTGTTGTTGTTTTTTGTAGAGATGGGGTTATGCCATATTGCCCAGGCTGATTTCTAATAAATTTTATCACTTTACAAAGGTTAAAAAAGAAGCAGAGAAAGTTATCTTTTCATAATATATCCCATCATCCAAAAAGGTGACTATAACATGTAGTCAATATAAAAATGATTGAAGTCATATATGTCCTTTCTTTTCATACCAAGTCTTTGAAATCCAGTGTGAATCTTACACTTTCCGCACATCTCAGTTGGGACTAGCCACATTTCAAATGCTCATTACCCCTAGGTGGCTGGTGGCTCCCCTACCATTGTGCCTACCAGCACAAATGGGGATGTTGCTTTGGTGGGAGGGGTGAATCTGTCAGGATCTCAACAGGAATCAGACAGCACATAATGCATGGAGGGTTTACTTCCAAAAGATCTGTTTCTAAAGGACTAGAAAAGACAACAACCCCGAGCTAGTAGCTCTGGCACTGTCACTACCCTTATGTCTGAAAGAATGAGGGAAAGGGAGGGTTACCACAACCAGGAGGGAACATGTCCATAGAAGAGGCTCTTGGCGGCAAGTTTTCGTGGTGACACACAGCCTGTCCAAGGCACCTCTTAGAAAAGGAATCAGGGAAAGAAATGTTCTTGATAAGACAGTAGGGGATAAGTATGTGGCATTATGTTTAATCGTGATAAAAATCAAGAAGGGTGATTAAAGCCTCATGATAACATTAGATGCAGTCACACTACACAGCCTTTTAGAAACTGTCTTCTTTCATCCACTCAGAGGCTTACATTAGAATGGAAACAAGTTGGAGATAATGATTATTAGGGTTCTTTGATGGGGAAAAAAATGCCTACCAAAATACCTGAGAGCACAATAGACTTTGTTGCACAGCTTCTTCTTGTTATTCCCTTTCTCTTTGTTATTCCATGTTTATTAGGCTTCTTCAGAGAGAGAGAACTAATGGGATATATGGATATAGATAGATGGATTAGAGAGAGATGATAGAGATAGAGAGATGAGAGATTATTTACTGGGGAATCGGCTCACGTGATTGTGGAGGCTGAGAAGTTCCATGACAAGCCATCTGCAAGCCACAGACCCTGAATGCTCGTAGTGTAGCTCAGTCCAAGTCTGAAGGCTTCAGAGCCCAGAAAGTCAATGGTATAAGTTCTGAGAACCAAAGGTCCACTGGTGTGAGTCTTGGAGTCCAAAAGCGAAAGAGCCTGGAATTCTGATGCCCAGTAACATGAGAAGGAGAATGTATTCCAGCTCTAGGAGGTAGATAAAGATACGTTGGGCCGGGCTCAGGGGTTCATGCCTGTAATCCCAACACTTTGGGAGGCCAAGGTAGGTGGATTGCCTCAGGTCAGGAGTTCAAGACCAGTCTGGCCAACATGGCAAAACCCCGTCTCTATTAAAAATACAAAATTTAGCCAGGCATATGCCCACACAGCCAGTGGGTGCCTGTGATCCCAACTACTCGGGAGGCTGAGGCAGGAGAATTGCTTGAACCCAGGAGGGGGAGGTTGCAGTGAGCCAAGACTGTGCCATTGCACTCCAGCCTGGGCGACAGAGTGAGATGCCATCTCAAAAAAAAAAAAAGACAAATTCGCCTTCCTCTGCTTTTGTTATGTCTAGGCCCCCCAACCAGTTGGATAGTGCCTGCCCACATTGAGGGTGGATCTTTCCAACTCAGTCCACTCAGGCTTACATGCTAATCTCCTCTGAAAGCATCCTTACAGAAAGAACCCAAAATAATGCCTTTTGTACATATTCCTCAATCCAGTCATGTTAACACCTAAAATTAATTATCACATCATGTTAAAGCATGCTTTCAAGACCCTTGAAAGCAATAAGGCTCTGCCTTGGAAAAAACTCCAGGTGTTTCTTGCTATCACAGAAGCTGGTCTTGTGCTCGGTGGTGAAAGGGGTGAGGTCTGTGTTCAGTGACTTTCAGCTTCCCTCTCTGTACCCTTCTGGCTTCCTTTACTGTGATGCCCACTCTTGCAATGCCACCCAGGGTCCTGTGAGGCTTCCCACCTTCAATCCCTTCCCAGGCCTGGATCTTATAAACCTGTTATTCTACTGTTCAAGCATTTCTTACCATCTCTCATGCGCTATCACAGAGGTTTAACATTGTAAAGTAAGGAATATTTTTAAAGACGACTCAGTCCCACTGACCCACATATCAATAGTTTATACTCATTCAGAAAACTTAATATACATTAATATGTAACAAATAAAACAATTACATCCATATGCACATCCACCTCTTTCTCTTTCTCTCTCTCTGAGAGAGAGGTGGATGTAGATATATGAGAGAGATAGATTGACAGATGGATCGATAGACAGAAAAACAGATACTTTAAAAAAAAATACTAAAAGTTTCTAGCAGTGTGGAGAATATGGGGATCACCCTTTGGCCGCCTGTAATAATGTGCATAATTGATGTGCATGAACTCATGGATGGTTCTGCTCCAAGAATTTAGAGTGCTTCACCGAAGACTTTTTACCTCCCCTTTCCCCAAAGACCCACATATCTGAGAAACAACGTTTATGGCTCCTCAGAGTCCTGCTCCTTTCCTATCTGTCTCTCGGTCACATCCTTGCCTCCATCGCCTGCCAGGATACCACATCAGCCAAACTAATGCAGAAGCCAATGAACTCAGGAGCCCACTGATGTGAGCTACACCCAGGTCAGGATAGAGATTAAGAGTAAAAGGCATTCAGAACAGAGTATGTCCCACAAGTGGGGACACAGATTTAAGAGCTTATGAGCTTTGTGAGCCAAAACATGAATGCACCCCTTAGAATGCAGAATTATATTGTATTCAATAAACTATCAGACTTTATGTTCCACAC